AAAGAAAGTGGTATACTCGTGGGAACGAGTATGATTATTGGTGTATCGCTTTGTGTTCCTTCCTTCGCGATGCAACGTGGATCGCTTTGAACGCGACTTAACCTTCGGGGCATGCTTCTCTCCTCCTCGACAATGAAACTCCCTCGTGATTCTTCAGTCAACCGTTTCTATTTCTCTTATTCTTTTTTTTTTTTTTTTTTTTTTTTTACGATATACATTTCTCTTTGCAAGATTTGAAAAAAAACACGTACGTTTGAATGTGTTTAATATCCTCTTCCACCTCCTCAAAAAAAGTAGCAAAGAATTTAGACAACGAAGAACAAGGTTTCTCTAGGAGGAGGAGATACATTTGAAATTTGAATTTGATTTATATATCGGTTAGGCATGCATCAATCTGAGAGGGGCGCCGATGCGCGCAACTGTCCACAAATCATCGCATCTGTTGCTGCGGTTTTCGAAATACGCGGCCCTCCTCCTCCTCCTCCTCCTCCTGGTAAATGGAGGCGCTTCAAATTAGATCACGACGTCACCCATAACAAATTGATGGCCGCGAAAATCAAATAGAATTTATGGGCTCACGATCATTATCTGGGTCGAAAACTAACCAGACCTATCCAATCAAACAAATTCTTGAATTTTAACCCTATTGATATATGTAAAATGATAGCGAATTATTGAATTACTTTATTATGTGAATTAGAGATGATTTTTGTTTTAATACGGATAGCAAGGAGATTGATTATTTTCTTTTTTTCTAATTGATAATTCCACGTGACACGATTGAAGGAGCCACTTTCAGAACTCTCTGTTTTAAGAAAGATTCTCAAGAAAAGAAGATACAACGACTCTTCTAAGGACAAGGCTGAAAGAGTCTCGAGTGGCTCGACGATTTCTTTTGAAATCGCACCGCTATTTTTCTCCCCGCTTCAAAGGGGGAAAGAGTAAGGGAGATTATCTCGAGGAGATAATAAGCGCGAAGAATGGATATCGCGCGAGAAGCAGATACCGCGATAGTAAAATAAAAAACAAGGAAGCGCGAGACATCGATGAACACGAATGAGATTATAAAAAATGTTTTCGTAGTATTCGTAGTATCGAGCCACGATAGGATAGAACAATGGAGACGGTTTCGAGAAGGGTTTGTTCTTCGCTTAAGAAAATTCGCTTTTAGCGAATTCCTTCGTTGGACGAAATGAAAGCGCCTTTTTTTTTTGTTCCTCGTAAAAAAAAAAAAAGAAAGAAAGATTACAATCGCGAACGAATACAGAGGACAGGATTTAATCAAGCATTTTAAATAAATCAATCTAGGGAAACAAAAGTCGCTTTTCGTCCTCCACTTCTTTTAACTTCTTTGCGGAAAAGAAAAGGAAAGAAGAAGGAAAAAAAAAAACACGATCTCCTTTCATCGATGAAAAGAATATCTTCGCTTCAACTACTGTACCGTGTAATTCTTTTCCTTCGCGTATTCGTTGAATACGTTCAAAAATCAAAGAGGATAATCCCAATGGGTATTAATGTAATTCCAACGAAACGGAGGAATGGAAGGAAGAATTGGAATACTTAAAAAAAAAAAAAAAAAACTCTTCCCCCAATGTTACAAATTTATCAAGGAAAAGTTCGTCGTTCTATATTCTTCCATAAACTTATTTGCTCGCTTATCTATCTACCATCCTTTTTCCCCCATCCATCCGTATACGAAACACACATACGAAACAGTGAAGAAAAACTAACGAGCATTCTGACTCGGGGGCAAAAACAAAGTCTCGTCCGCGACACGTGGATGACGAACAACACCCCCTTAAGAAGAAGAAGAAGAAGAAGAGGAAGAGGAGGAAGAGGAAGAAGAAGAGGCCGTTACAATTCGTGGCTAGTTATTATTCGATCCGTCAAGCCGAGATGAAATATGATAATCGTTATTCGCGCCACGCCCGGTTTATCATATTTCCTCCTCGGCCGCCATTATCATAATGGCGTCGTGGCGTGCACGGGATCGGGCCACGTTCGACGCGGCGAGAGGGCCCCGCCGCCGCTTGTTCCCAACTCGCGAGATTGATGCGGCTTATGAGCCCTCCAACGAAATTCGACCTCGTTCGTCCAACCGTATTGTATTGTACGTTGCTTCACTCGTCTCGCGATCCATACGTCAATTATATAAATTAGACTTTACGATCGGGACGATATATGATCTTGAGAATTTATGGGTGCGTGGGGGGTTGATTTTGGCGGTAGACTCTTGATGGAATTAACTAAGATGAGAAGAGGAGGAGGAATGGAACGGTTGCCGATTTTTATGTAAAAATCGAGATTTAAATGACATTACTATTGCAATTGTGCCATACAATAGTGGAAGAATGAGAATTTTCTCTTCCATCTTCTCTCTTCGTTCTGTTTATACCTCGAAACTGAAATGAGATTATTTCTATGTTTTTTCAAGAGTGAATAAAGAAAAAGGAGGATTTTTGTTCAAATATTTATTAACAAAGATTTAATTCCGTAAGCGGGATGTAAAAAGAAACGAGGGGGAGGAAAAAATTTCAAAGTGGAATTCTGTTTGTTTGGAATTTTTCTGTTTGTTTGGGTGTGAACGAGGATACGCGAGGATTTGTTGTTGGAACGGAAAGAAATGATTACGTAAACAGGGGGAGGGAAAGGATGCAATTCCCTAATTGTCGAGAATGTAATTTTACAAGAATCGAGTCACGGTTTATCGAGTTACAAAGGAGTGAAATTCAGAGCTCGATGGGACGATATAATAAATTCGCGAGAGGCCGCGAGTACTACCACACGCGGTTCCTCATTCGATTCTACCAACAAACTGCATTACACCCCGCAACGTTCGCGCGGATAATGAACCAATTTTCTCTAGAATTTAATTTGTTGCAGAACAGTCGCTCGTAAGCCTGTTTCTCGTTTTTCGCGTGCCGTTGCTCGCCCGCAAGTAATCGCGGACGCCTGTAACGAACTAACCTGAAATTCGGTTTCCATGTATAATGTTCAACCCCTTTTACACTCAAAAATATATATATATATATATATTATTTACTCGTACGAATATCGAAAAGGAAAAGGAAAAACAAAAAGTCGAGAAGAAGAATCGGATCATTTTATCGAAAAGATTTTAATTATTTTTCGGACGGATCCATAGGGATATCCTTCGTCTGTAAATTCAATCCATCGAGATTGACTCGACGATGAAAATAAAAATTGAATTTTGAAAGTGAAAAAAAAAAAAAGAAAGAAAAAAATTAGATTGCGAGGAAGAATGGAGGAATTTTTATTCGAATGATTTCACGTACGTGACTCACTTTTGCAACGAGAAAATATCGAACGTCGGATTTGACAATACAGTTACTAATGGAATATAGTGGTACAAGTTCTCACTTTTCGACCAGGAATCCATTCCACCTCCCCCTCCCCTCCCTCCCTTAACTCTCTTCGTTCCTCTTCTGGAACTGGTTGCAGGTACAGCTCGATACTTTCCAAGCTTTTTGCGCGGAAACTTTTGTTCATTTACGATACAACCAGACTGTCGGCTACTTCTCGTTATCCGTTACATACCCGGCACAATTACCGGGGAAAGTTTGGTAAAAAGCGGTGTAGGGGTAGGTTTTTCGAAAGAAAATTCCTCGACTTTCTCCTTTTTTCTTTTTTTTTCTTTTTTTTTTTTTTTTTTTTCGTTGTTGTTGTAGACGAACGATCTACGAGCTACGAGCCTTGAATCGTGGGCTAAATATAGGGAAATTTGATTGGAAGGGGAGGAAAGGTAATCTTGCGTTTGTTTGATTAGTCGATAAATCGATAAAACGGTAAAACAAGGGTGGAAGCGATTAATTTGAATATGCTGCAATTTCGTATGATGCGCGTAAGCTTTTATTTAATTTGTTTTTGCTTGGAAATTATTATCGTGGAGCATCGAAAGGTCCAATGGCAAATTGTTAAAATGGTTTTTGCAAAAAAATTTTTTCATTTTTCGTTTAATGCGAATTTTTATAAATTTCGATACTAATGAAACATTTTTCTCGTTGTACTTTTTCTTTCTTTCTTTTCTTTTAACGTTTGAAAATTTCTTTCGGAGAGCAGAATTTAATCAACTTTCGCGTTTGTCTCATAAATCTTAAAACACCGTTCAATCCAGCGCTATAATTGTCTCCCTGTCGCTTCGTGTCGCCACACGTATCCTGGCAGGAATGCAGATTAAAATTCACCGGCAATGCGTTCGAGATTAGCTGCTGTTTCGATACCACGGAAATTTACGATCCGTATGAAATCGAGCGTGGATTAAAACTAAAGACAGTGAAGAATTTTCGCAATGTATTCGAGGAATATGAACCACGGACGGGAGTAAGAAAGAGAGACGAACGTTTTGAATTTAACTATTGCGCGGTAAAAATTAAAGAATTCGAGAAAGGGGAATTAAAGGGGTGTAAAGAAATAGGGTAGAAAGATTCTACAGAGGGAATCAATTCTATGGAGTTAAAGGGAGAAATAAAGTAAAGAAAGAGCGTAAAAGTACGAAATATTTTCGTGCTTTTTATTCTTACGCGAATATTTTACGTCGCGAATATTTCAAAGTGTTGAAAAAATGTCGTCTTGATACGATTAGTATCATCTTGCTATACTAGACCAATTTGAAGAAATTAAAATTAACGTTTTTTGAAACAAAGTGGCAAAGTTGGCATTAAATCTTCGTCGCCCACGATAAAGTCGATGAAGGCGCGCTTTTACGTCTTCTTGATCATATTACAATTTACAAACGAGACACGTTGAAACGAGACACGCGTCCATAAATTAAACACCTTTCCCCGATCTCTTCCATAAACTCGACTTATCCCTATTTCGTACCTTCCTTGTTTACTTAATTAAACCTTGATAAAACCACTCCCACGATAATATCTCCGCGTGAAATAATTTCACGAATTCGCGCGACAATTCGCAAAAATTAAAAATAAAAAATAGACAATAGAATTTAGCATTTTAACATCTTTTCTCTTAATATTTTTCAGCATCGAAATCGAACCTAGTGGTGGACATCGAGCCAAAACGACCGACGGCCGTCCGATTGGGCGAGAGCCTGCAAATTTTGTGCAGAGTGGGTAGACCGCTTCGGGTGTGCCGTGTCGAGATACCTGGCGAGGAAGGTGGTATAGTGTTGTCGAAGGGACAACCGCCCGAAGACGGTATCGAGTATTACGGAGAAGGAACAGAGGCGGGCCAATGCGGGGTTCGCATAGCCAAGATCAAGGAAAGCCACGATGGAATATTCAAATGCACCCTGACCACGACCGACAGCCGAACGGAGGAGCAGGCGTCCATGAGGATCATCGTGGCCAGTACGTATCCAGAGATAATATTATCTTCTTGTAATAACCGACCGACGATAGAACATAGACACGCGTCCTATGATATCGTATTTTTAATTTGAAACGAGCCGGAGCTAATAATTAAAACCCGTTCGTAATTAATCGTCGTCGTTTTTACGTCGAGGTTTTTGAGAAATTAATGAGAAAATCGCTGTGAAACTTCGTGACGTTACTTGTCCGAGGAAAGTATATCCCTCCCCGTGTACACGTGAATGTGAAAAATATAACCTTCGTCTACGTGTGTGGGAGAATTCGAGAACTAATTAATCTTCGTTAAGAGAATTGCTTACGCGAGAGAGGTGGTAGGGAGGGGGTACGCGAAAGGAAATTACTGTTTTCAGATAAAGTCGATAGAGATAAATGATGAAAACGGGCTATGATCGAGAGAGAGAGAGATTTCGAAATTAAATAAAGATCTGCAAGTTTTTTCCTCCTCGATGGCGAGAGGATTAACGAGATTCGACGTGTCCCGGCGCGTTTTTAAAGCTCGACTCTGGATACGAAAATTGAACGCTCTCGTTGTTGCGGAACCGAAGCGAATAATTAATGCTTGGAACTCGATTTACAGAACCGCCGAATAATCCGGAGCTTCACACTAGTCAAGGATCGGATGGAAGAAATATATATAGGAAGGGAGAAAAATTGGAAGTGAGTTGCAGCGCGCCAGGCGGGCGTCCAGCGGCCAACGTTTCTTTGTTCCTCGGTAATTAGAGTCGCGCGGGAGGACGGAGGAAATTTTCGATTTCGAAACTTCTAATTCTTTTTCTTCTTCTTCTTTCCCTTTCTGAACATACTTGTAACGCGTTTCCCCGTTTCGAAACGTTAGACGACGAGCCAATCGGCAACGAGGAAAGGCCAACGATTTACGACTCGAACGTGGACGATAATTCACTGGCCGTGCAAAATGCATCGCGCGCCTTGGACTGGACCGACAACGGGAAAGTTCTTCGATGCGTCGCCGGTCACATCGCCCTCGACCGGCCTAAAGAAACCACTATGCAACTGCAGGTCTACTGTAAGTAGATATATGTCTCGAAATAATTTCCAAGACTTTTTGCAAATAACTTTTCTGTTCCTTCTCTGATTGTTTACTTGTTTTTTCTTTTCTTTTTTTTTTTTTAATTCTCGAGACGAAGTAGACGTAACGAATGGTTTTTTTTTACGCGCGCGCGCGCGCCTATGAACTTTTGAAAAAAAAGATGAAAGAAAAGAGAAAATTGTTTTTATTAGATCCTCCTCAACCTCAGTCAACGATCGAACGATTTGGATACGTAATTGGACGGCAGGGAATCGTGAACGTGACCGTTTACGCAAATCCTAGGCCGCGTTTTTTATGGCGTGTGAACAATGAGATGATCAACGAGGGACGTCCAGATGAAAGCAATCGACTCGAAACCTCGACCGCTGTGGATCTGGTAAATTGTTCGATTAATTCTTACGATTTAAATTTTATATTTAAAATATCGTTATAACGATCGATTGCCTTTCGAGAAATATTACGTATTTATATTACGTCGCGTATATACGATTGATCAAATTCGTGGTTCAATTAAACAAGTCGGGAAATTTTACCTGTTTTATATTATCTTAAAAATCTTTCTCGTTCAATTCATATTTATGAATAAAATATTCCTCTACTTAAGAAAGATCGATCGTTGGACCATGAAAATTCTAGCTGATTCAAACGGTGCTCGAACTACTCGAATGATAAATTAATATTGAATTTCATCGATGGTGATTAAAAACTCCCAACGAAAATAAGGAAACAACAGTGAAAAATTAATTCGTTGAAAAGGCAGAGGTTGAATTATCGATAGAAAAAGTACGATGGAATAAATATTGAAACGTATAATTTGATAGAGAGAGAGAGAGAGAGAGAGTTTTCTCGTAAAAAAAAAAGGGAAAAAAGAATAAAACAAGGAAAGAGTAAATTGGAGAACGGAACGATCGACGATGGAGGGTCGAAATGAAGGAGAATAAAGAGCGAAGGTAATGGAACAAAGATTCTACATTCCAGAGCATCGATTTTCATCTTGTGCACTTAGGCGGTTTTTATGCATTCGCGTGACTCGCAAAGTTCCTCTCTCTAATCAAAGAGCTTTAATGAAATTCCACTCGATTCAGATGCTACAAAATTCGTTCGGTGAAATCGTCCGTGATAATACATCGGCTATATCGAAACTTATTTTGTGCACAAACAATGGAGGAGAAAGAAATGTTCCGGAAGAATTGGAAATCTCCTCCTCTCTCGTTTGAACAATAAAATTATTCTATATTATTCGTTGAGTACTTGATATAAGATATCTATCTAAATTTTATCTAAAGAAAAAAAGTTTCGTAAAAAATATCGATAATACAATTCTCTTGTATAAAAGAGTTCGAGATACCTCTTGATCCAAGGGGAAAGAATTACAAATAATAATGAGATCGAAGAATAACGTTGCGAAGAGAAACGAAATATCACGAATTAAATTAAAATTCATGGAAATATCGGCTCGTGAAATTCGTTCAAATTGAATATATTTATATATATATATGTAGGTAGAATATCGAGAGATTGAAATCAAAGTGTCACTTAAACGTGAACAGCACTTGACCTCCGGTCATTGGAAAAACGAAGTCGAAAACATTTCGAAACAATGCTCGACAAGTTCGATACCGCGAAAGGCTCTAAATGAGCATCGTTGCGGAAGAAACCAATAAAAGGACGAAACGACCTGATCGAAACCGCTTGGCGAACAGCATAGCATGAACAGCCCTCAAAAGGCCATCTGGGAACTGGCAATCGAACTGGTATCGATGAATGCGAATCAATTTTCAATTGGAAAGGCAATTGATATCGGTGAAACTTGCACTTTTTTCTCCCCCCCCCCCTTGTTCTTTCTTTCTTTCATTCTTCTTTTTTATTTATTTATTTATTTATTTATTTATTTATTTTCTTTTTTTAACTGTTCAAATAACACATTGATCCAGAAACGCGTTGCACGAGAATTTTTATACACGGCGAATAATAATCGGCTTTTTAAAGGTTAAAGACGTGCGGTTTCTTTGATAAGGAATTTTAAACGATATAAAGGAATTCGTAATCTTGTAGGGAAGAGGAGCGTGGAGCGTAATCCTGACGATCGACAGTGTGCAAAAATCCGACACGGAGAAGGAATATATCCTGGAAGCCCGCAACGGCGAAGGAGCTTACGAATATCGTATCATTTTGTCGACAGCCACAGAACCTGCAGGTAAAGCTATCGAGACCCCTCTCCTACGGGTTACGATTCGATATAATCGTAAAAATTCGCTTGATCTCACTGTGCACAAGTGTAGCAACTTTATTTCCGTTAAAACGAAACATCAGTAGAAAAAAAAAAAAAAGAAAAAAAAATAGAAATAGAATTTCATTCGCGATACGATAATTTACGAGAAGAGAACATTTATGGAATTATATATCTCAAAAAAAAAAAAAAAAANAAAAGAGAGATAAAAATATAATGTTATAATAAACGTTAAAAAGGAATTAATTTTTTACACTCGCGTATAACGTCGATATTAACGATGATCGAATATCGCCGTATAACGAGAACGAATAAAGACCGATTTGAAATTCATTGGTAGCTGTCGATCATGCTGTTAGTTTTCGCACTTGGCGCGTTCGTCACCAGCATTTCATCCGATCGAGCATACTCACCACCTGTCTATCGGTTCACGTCATACTCGTTGTCACTTTCACGTATTGTACCATCACGCGGTGGCCGTCATTGCGATTACACCGAATATACGAATTAGAATTATTATTATCACTCTTTCCCCCCCCCTCCCTTTTCTCTCTTTCATTGTTTTATCTCCATCCGTCTCATATCCGCTACGTATTTCTAATCATATCGATTACCTTCACCGCATGCTCTCACGCAGGGCCGTTCGGTCACTTCTATGGTAAGCTCTCCGAACACATGCACGCACTAGGTAATGTCATTCTTTCAAATTATTATACGTAAGTAGTCGATGTAATTCTCCGCGCGCCGAGTTCCGTAAAAATTTAAAAATTGAAAAAGTGCAGCAAACAATTTTTCATGCCTGTACCCGTTTCTTTCTCGAATTTTTTCTCAAATTTATTTAATAATAGAAAAAAAAGAAACAAAAAGAAAGAAATTAAATAAATATCGATACTTTTCGATCGGTTTGAAAAATCGAGACGATTCTATACGTGTATACTATATATCTTGTCAAATAATATCCAAACGTTATCTGTCTCAAAGTATTATCTCGTTGTTTGTTCAAAGATCGTAGAAAAAGTCGCGTAAAGTCCCGTATCCCGGATACGTTTTTCCAGATTTTTTAAACCGGTGTCATGAATTCGCGCGAAAATCGAATGATAGATTCACGAAAGAAACAAAATGGAACTCCGCGCTACGAGACACTATTATATATATATATATATATATATATATATACATATGTGTGTGAGTGTATATGACGTTTGTTATTGATATTAACTGCAAACATGAATGGCAGATCTGTATTTTTCGAATAAACATGACTAAATTTCTGCTCGATCGCCTCTACGTGAATCAACGCTTTTTTCGATATTGAACACAGATTTCGCGCCACCGATTTCTTTGCACGCGTTTCTGCATAAAGAATAATCTAAAATTTTTAATGTCAACCCTTTTATAAATGTTTTATAAATGAAAAGCTTCGATCGCTTGTTGATTATTGTTACGATATATAATATATATATATATACATATATACGTGTATATTTTTTATCTTACATAGAAATATGTTCTGCATTCATGGCTCTGCTTCCTATATTAATTACCGATTCAATATTTTTTTCAACATAGATCGATACAAGACACCGCGACACCTATGATTTCCATCATACATATAATCAAGATTAATTAAAATCGTGTCTTGAAAAACGCTAAAGCTTATCTTAATTTCTTGAACGATAGATTCATTATTGCATTCGTGTTAAATAAATATGTAACTGGCGCATGATTTCTAATTCAATATCTTTTCGATTCGACTTTTTTCCCAATATTTCCAATATTTTTATATAAATGTACGTATACCTCTTCGTCGTGATATTTGAAGATAGACAAAATCACGGGGAAGAATTATTTAATTGATAATCGAGGGCATAATCGAGTATTTATTATATTTATTCAATATTTATTCGACGTGGATGAATTGCAAGAAAAAAAAAAAAAAAAA